ACTGGCAAAACCTTTTACTGTTTGAACCAATGCATCTACAACATATGACCAGATACTTGCAGTCCTATACAACCAATGTAAAAACACATTTAAGGTTTTGGTATGGAGCTGTAATGGAAAGGCCTGGATGCTACAGACATTATCACAAGAGGAAGCCTCAGAGTCGGGAGTGGGACGTGTTAAAATGATACATTTCCAGTGACTAAAATTATTGTGTCAAAAACACTGCATGGAGAATTTATTTAGGCATGTAAGGCAATGTACTTCCTATTTTGTGTACTCATCTCGCAACCTATTAAACCTAGTCAATGTTTACAGTACATGAATGTAATTCTGGAAAAGCAGGCCTAAAAATCCTCACCAGTCTTTCCATGTCTGTTGGAGTAGTGAATTACAACCATTTAATTTCTGCCAAACACAAATGAATATGACATGACTGAGGCAAAAACAAAAAGTAAATAAAATAAATAAATAAATAAAATGGGTAGCAGAATCAACATTGGTTTTGAGCCTAGTGGGAAAGATCAGAGCAGAAACTTTTAGGTTAACTTCAGTATTAAAGTAAAATTAATACTTTTTATACAAAAGATATGAAAAAGATGTTAAGTTCAAAAACCAATCTCCTGAAGAAGGTCCAGTGGCATTGTTCCTAAGAGGCGCATTGAGTGATTTTAACATGAAATGTGGTGCACTCCAATACCAAAATACAGAATTAATTGCTGTGGGATTATTTAGTCAACTGAGCTGAACAACTATACATGTCATGCCCAGTGGCATATCTTTTTACATATTTTTTGACTTATTTACGAAAAACTGCCTTTGAGGCACCAGATCAATTACAAACTGAGGCCATTCTAAAAACGTCGTGCTTGGACCCCAATAATTGCCACTTGCAATGTAATGTAATTTGTAGACCGACGCTGAGCTCTCATAGTCGTTATGACTGTTCACAGAAACCAACGTGTTCTACATCAATTTCAGACAAAAAGTCAGTGTTTTTCACCCACTATTCATATGTGAAGATGCAACCAACAAACACTGCTCATGAAACATGAACAAACAAACAACCCTAAAAACATTAAAACTACATAATTCACATGAATGGCATAGCATTCAAAGCATCCAAAACTGCAAATTTTGTTGAAATGCATTTCGACAAGTTTGCGTGTACGATAAATCCACAGATTTTATACAAGTGAAAATGGCTTTGTTTCCAGAACCCACAGTTTACGGATAAAACTGCTACAAGATAGGTGGGGTTAACTGGCTAGTTATTACAGTCACTAGAAAATATCGTGAATCAATGCAAACAATTAATTTAATACTGTTTGTTGTTTGAATCAGACAAGCTTTCCAACCTAAATACAGAAAAAATATATAAATGTCACTTGTGACAAAAGACTGTTGAACATAAATATTTGCAAATTAAAATGTGAAGCTTGAAAAAATCAACGGTTTTCAATTTATATGGAGACGTATGCACTTTATTTGGGGAGGTGTAGCTGTAACACTGTGTTACAACTAACCCTGCCATGTGGAGGCTGTAATTTAGCCTGCCTAACTCTCACTGTGATTTCTTAAAACTCCTAAAAACAGTGCTATATTCCAGCCAACAAGAAAAATGTAGGTGTGAATTCTGTTACTTTTACATAAAATTCAGTAGTCATAAAATGTTAAACAGTTACTTTTTGGTACAAAAAACATCTTCATTGAGAATGTTATTGAGAATCTATGAAAAGTCATAGATAAGGTTGTTAAAAGAAAATGTGATGACCGAAACCATGCTCTTTCATTCATACATTAAAAAGTACATCAAATTTTCTGTTATTGTTGCATTAGGTTGTACTCAGCTCACCCCTATTAACAACAATTACTGCTTAAGAGTGATGATGGGATGATAGGTCTATCTTGCCAGTTTCACATGACTAATCATGAATTTGCTTCTGCGGAATAAAAAGAAACCATTAGCTTACATTCTGGCTACGAAGCATATCCGTATAAAGCCGTGCCCAGAAATATGTCCATACTTTCTGGAGAGCAGAGTAGGTGGGATACAACTTAGAACATGCCAAAAACAACGGTAACAGTCAGGTGCAACATCATGAAAGAATGCTGAAAAAGTACCTGGCGCTGAACGGTTCTGAAGATACTGATATCTTAAGTTACAAAACCACAGACATGGATTTCAAAGTAGAGGCTTCAGATGAGGAAGGAGAGACCAGCACCGGTAACTTTACAGGAAAGGAAAAAAATATTCATCCTTAAGTAGATTTAAAATATTATTTTACATTTTATTATTTTGGCCCATTTATCCTGAAATCTTACCACAATGCAAAGAGTAACTGAGTTTTCACATTAGGCAAAAAAGTGTATTAAAAAAAAAAATTATAAAAAAAGCAACAAAAACATTACCAACTTTGCTGGATTCTGGGAAAACTTTTACAGTACAATCAGATTGTACTATATAAACACCTTAGTGTGTGGCTTTTGTAATATTTTTCTAACAATAATGTAATTATACATCAAAACATACATCAGCTATACTGTAAAACTAGGTATTAAGAAGCAATGAACTACTGTCCTCACTTCAATTTATTTTGGATTTTCAGTTTATTATTTAAATGTTTAAAAGAGTCACATTAATATCTGTGAACCCAAGTTAATGCAACAAGTTTAGCAGTCTAGCTATCTAACGCTAGCTAGCTATTTAATAACATGCTAGGTTACCCAGCCCAAACTGCACCAATACACAATAAAGAATGAAGTATTCAGGTGAGTTCATAAACCTTTTATTATTCGTCATATGTCATCATATAGCAGACTTTAATGTAGAAGCTTTTACTTTGTAAATTTTCTGTTGCGTCAGTAATACTCTGCCATGATAATGCTTATTTCAGCCAGCTATACAGCTATACAGCTCTAACTTATAGCTAATAACTTTTGGAGCTTGTAAGACATGTTTGTAATGAATTTTTCACTTTGGATATTTGGGTGAATACTTTAATAAATATGTGAACTTAAAGCCCAACCATGAGTAGCATTACAGGAGCCTGTTAGCTTTTGAAAAAATGGCTGCTTGTATTTTTGCATACATACAATATTCAGAAAAGAGGATAACGCTGATTACAATAATATACTATTGCCAATATGTAGATTTGTACAAAAACTATTGAAATATATAATGTCACCGAAAACATAAATTCCAGTATGAGTTCTGTAATTATTTATAGCACTCATACTGTAATTTATGAGCAATTGATTTGGCAAGTCTGTCACCAGTAAGTTATTACCAATTTAAAAAGCATTTTTTCCCCAATACTTATTCTCAAAGTCACCTTTGAAAACAACCATTTTTACAGTTCATAATTACTCTTAATTTTAAGTATGCTCATTACTGTAGTTCAAAATATATTCAGTAGATGGCAACAACATAATAATCAGACTGAAGCTCATGCTCTGTAAGTTGCTATGGCAGAATCAGAGATATTTCTTGATATATTTACAGTAACTGTTTTATCTAAAGGACTTTGCTGTTGAAATGTCTTGCAATTTAGGCTACATTTTTCATGGGATGAAACTAATATCAACTACATTGAAAAACAAATATCGACATTGAGTATTTAAATTATTTGCACCAGCTCTAAATTAAGTTCTTTACTGAACTGCACCATACAAAATAAATGTAACTAGAATGTCTGTTACAAACATCAAACATTTAAGCTGCAGACTTTTGACATGAACACAATAGAAATCCCATAGATGCACTAACAAGAAATAGCATTATGCTAAAGGTGGTAACAGGAGGCGAATTACAAAGCAAATTAAAAGTATTAAACATGCTATATAATGTTTAATGCCTCTCAGTTTATAAAGGTTTATGAAAAAACCCGGGCTTCATATTCTGATTTTACCATTTATTCAGTATTAAAGGTAATACAAACGCACATTAGTGTTATTTGTCTCACAAGCCAGACTTCTGACTACAGCCAGGTCAATATCAATAGGGGGGAATATCAGGCCTGCTGCACAGTTTGTGAAATCAAAAACACCTCTATTGTCTAAAAAACAACAAACTTTGACATTTTAGCATCTTAAGTTTTTCAAATCTACTTTAAGACAAATTTTTTTCCCCCCAAGATCTGCACGACCCCTCAATACGTAGAATTCACACTCAATATATTTGTTAAATTCTTGCTTATTCAATTATTTACACTAAAATAATAATTTCTTGTTCTGGTAAATTAATAAATAATACAATTAAAGTGATAAAAGTGGAGACTACGTCTTGTTTTTGCGTTGTTATTTTTAGCCTGAGATGTTTATTGAACTGCCAAGCCCCTACCCCCCAGAAGTCAGAAATGGGACATTTCTGTATTGTGACTATTCTAGTAAGGACATCTGACAGGAAATTACGGCGTCAAGCAAATAAATGATGGGAAAACAGGCAGGACGAAAGTAAAACCTGACTAAACCTAAATTATGGCATCGTCACAGACAAATAGGTCATTTAGCATGACTCTAGCTTCGGCTTCTGAATCAATGTGAGAGCTGCTCATCTTTTATGTTGATGTTACAATCTTACAGTTTGCATTTATTGTCTTTATTTAACTGGTTCTGTGTTTTATTGCCTATTTTATGAGTTTCCTACACTGAGTGTACAACATTTTGGCCAACAGTGTCTTTTTTTAAATGTGCTCTAATAAATAAATTTGACATTGACAAAGACGTAGCAAAAATCCCCTTGATAACAGACTGAGAAATCATGAACAGAGACACTTCACACTGAGTCAATAACTAGATTGGTGTATAATTAAGTTACCTCATAAGAGAATATGTGAAGTCATGCTGTCCTCCCATGACCAGACAGACTGACTCAGAATGAATTACACAGTGAATTACACTCCTTGTGCTCCACTGAACAAAGAAGGAGGCATGAGAAAGGTGCCAATTCATCCCTTCAACAACACAACGTTCAAGAGCTGTGCACTTGGGGAACTTACCCTATTGAGCGAATTCTGAAGCGCATCCGGTCTAAGTGCAGAACTTTCACCTCCTAAAGAAAAGATGTTTTAATTAAATTAAAAACAGCATCAACTATACGGACAAATGTTTTGAACAATTTCAGGACGAGCAAAAGAAGAAAAAGACCACCTGTTGTAAAAACAGTGTTAACATAATCACTAAACATTCTTATTATTAAAACAGTGGCAGCATTTGAACTTTCATCTTTGTTAATTAAAAAGTTCACTATATGGCCAAAAGAATGTGGACATTCTCCTAATTACTGAGTTCAGGTGTTTCAGTCCCACCCTTTGCTAACAGGTGTGTAAAATCAAAACACAGCCATGCAATCATTTGACACAAGTCAGTTCTTAAAATTCCTGTCTTGCCAGCTCTGCTTTGCTTAACTGTGATAATTATGACGTTACATAGGTTTATTATGTGTCTAGGATCAACAGCAGCTCAGCCACTAAACAGTAGACCAAACAAACTCACAGAGTGAGATCGCTAAGTGCCTAAAAATAGCTTATCCAGGGGCTCCCGAGTGGCGCAACAGTCTAAGCATTGGCCCTGTCATAAGGAGATCGCGAGTTCGATCCCTGGTGATGCTACAGCCATCCGTAGCCGGGAGTCCAAGAGACATAGACTAATGAGTGATTTGGAGGCACTCCAGAGCCATGACCTCAAACCCACTGAACTCCTTTGGGATGAACTGAAATCACTGTGTGCGAGCCAGGCCTTCTCGCCCAACATCAGTTAAATTCCTAAACTCACAAGTCTTTTTGACTGAATGGGCACAAACTCCCTCCAAAGTTAAACACTCCCAGATGAAGGGTGTCACAAGTTTTATCATACAGCACACCACTAAAATTTAGGACTTTTTCCAAAAGGAACTCTACCTCAGTATTCTGTCTCATTCTGCCCTTCACTGACCAGCATCACAGGAAAACATATGAGGGTAGCCAGAATTCCCAGACATGCCGCAGGCTGAAAATCTTTTCCTTCAGCGAGCGTGGGTGTGTGTGTGTGTGTGTGCGCGTGCTGGCAAGTGCCTCAAAATGAGCTTCAAAAAACACCTGTGTCTTCATTGCCCACAGCTGAATTTTGAAAAAGTGAAAGTGAATTTTCATTTTGTCTACATTTACAAATATTACTTCACCATGAGATCAAAACATCTTGAGTGTATGAAATAACATGACACTGATTAACAATCAAAGAAAACATTTACATTTATGAATGTAAAATTTGACATAACATACTCCTTCCACACACCGGTGTCAGGCGCTTTCCATGACTGACAAAAGCACAGGATATATTAGGTGCTTCTTAAATTGATAGGTGAACATGTATTTTCTCTGCATAGGTATGAGCTGCATTAGGTAATATTCAAACAATAAATACGACCATTCTCAGATAAATAAGTATGACTGCTATCCTCAATTTGTGAACACATGGTGCTGAACACATGGTGCTGAACACATGGTGCTGAATTCATCATTATTTAAATTTGTTTGTAAAGTCTTTACTAAATCTTTGGTTAACACTAATTAGTTAGTGACAAACTTTTCTCAACAAGCCATTTTTTTTTCGTTTGCGTTATTTCTTTGGTTACTAACACCAGTTTAGTGCAACACATGTTGATTTAATAAAGTGTAAACCTTAAAAGTGAATCCCCCCAATCTTACAAAAGTTCTGCATAGTATGTAAAAAAGTAAACAAAGTCATTCAGAGTGGTTTGATGTGAATTGGTGCATTGTAAAGAAACTTAGCACCTCAGATTTCTTTGCAGTGGTGCTAATAAGAACCAGGGATTGTGGTATCAACAGCATAAATATAGCCATTTTGTTTACTGTCCAAAACAACCAGTGAACCTAAAGTTGATAAACCTCATGTTGACTATGGTAAAATAGTGAGTCAGTGTGTTTGTGTGTGTTGTCAGGGCCTCAAAATGAGCTTCAGTGAAACGCCCATGCCTTTATTGCCCACAACGGCCATGTGCTCCTATTTTGGAGAGGACAGGAGAACAGTGGGAAACTTTTGTTTATATCACCCTCTCCATCACGAATGGATTTAAAATCTTAGCTCAAAACTGTAATAAAACAATGTCTCAGGCACCAGGCAACATATTCCTAACCATTCCATGTAATCGATTTCTGTAAGGTAGCTTCTAAATGCATTACATGTTTCAGAGGTCTGGTTTCTGTGACCGCCACAGTGAACAATTTTGTACGTGTGTAAGTTTCTCTAGAATTGGATCTTTCACATCAAACAAACTCTGAATTAATCTATTTACCTCTTAACAATTTACTTACGCTATATCTAAAGTTGTAACTGAATAGTTTACCCCTAAGTATGACCCAGAAGGGAGAATGAATTGAAATAATTGTACTGCACTAATTTTTTGGCCCTGTCTAAATGATCTGCTAAAATGAGAACCCAAATCTAAGCGATGGTGATGATGGTGTGATACCCTGGGGATGAAGAAGACATCAGCACTGAACTTGAAAAGCCAGTCGTCTAAGAAATGGAAGAGGAGTGATTCCAGATCGTCCCCTAAGCAGAAAGAAACAAGGGAGTTATTGTTGCGGTCTAACAGACACATGATCAATGCTTTCTTTATTACACAGAAGTACCTGACACGCCACCTTCAGAATGCATCAAAATAAAGATTTATTAACCTAATATTGCTTTCCTGAATACTTCCTGTATCAGTCTGTTTGTCCTGCTCTAACTTACCACACGGAATACTTTTGCAGTACTTTCCTGCATGCTGCCCTGACTGCAGATGATTCTATTAGTTTGACTGTTAGGCAGTGCAGTGTGGGAGTGATTTGACTCCTTCATCTAATTAAGCATAGTGACCTCAATCTGACTTCAATAAATAACAGGTTTGGAAAAACCAAGTAAGACCATCTCTCTTACCCTCAGATTCCACTTCTATAGTGTCAGTGGGTTCAACAGTTTCGGTATCAGTCATGTAGCCGAACATCGCCATCGCACACTGCTCAAATGCCTCCTCCAGAGAGTCACCCCAAGAATGTAACCTGAAATGGTGAACAAAGAGGTACAAACACGATATAACAAGACTTCTACAAGACTGGACTAAACCATGGAAAAGTGAAAACCTTGACTGCACTTCCAAATGCCATCACAATGAACACCCAAAATGAAAGGAATGACATTTGAAGTGGTTTATTCCATGTCAGAAGGTCAACCAGTGGGTTTCAGAAGGCTCTAGTGAATGTTTCTGTTGTTTTCTCTTCTCTTGCCCCTTTTTACTTTTAAAGTAAAAGTCTCAAGTTAGGGAATTAAAGAGTTGAAGAAAGTCACTATTTTAACTATTAACAGAAGGAGCTCAATAAAAAAACATATTCCTTACCCTAAATATATGTTTAAATGCTGTGGCTGAAACACCTGACAGGCAGGCTAAACCCACTCATGACTAAAAACAGAACAGAAAGTGCACTTGACCAGGAAAGAATTATTTATTTGGAAATCTACTCACTGGACATCCGCTGTGTGGTCCAGATCTGAAACGGGAAAAGGCATGTTTATAACACACAGACACGCAATAGATACACATTAAAAACTTCAAAATGACTCAAAAGTGCTTGTCTCTCCAAAAGGTGTTCAGTAAATTGGTTTAATGTTACGGTTGGTGACATTTTATTACTTGTTTTTGCAAAGTTTCACTGATCCTGGAATTCATGGGCACCAGGTAATCAGACACTTAAGGCTGTTTCCACACCTAAAATGTAAAACTGTAAAAAAAACAAAGGAGGATAAGATCAAAAAAGGAAACTAAAATTAAAAAGACTAAAATAATAAAATATAATGTGAATAATAATAAACAAATAAATAAATAAATAAATGGGGAAAAAATAAAATAACTAAAAGTTTAAATTGAGTGACACTAGCTAAAGCTTCGACACTAAGCTGCTCGATCTCAGTGCTGCCTTTGTTATCACTGACCATAAAAGTCTTATAGACAGACTTGAGTACTGGGTTGGATTCTCAGGAACTGTCCTAATACGGTTCAGGTCATACCTGTAAGACAGGTACTAATTGGTCAAATTAGAAAATAATGTTTCTGAGAGAGTGCTAGTGACCTGCGGTGTCCACCAGGGTTCAATTCTTGGGCCGCTTTTATTTAATTTATACATGCTTCCTCTTGGCCAAATACTACAAAGATTATGGGATATCTTACCACAGCTCTGCAGATGATACTCAGATCTGATTGGCCCTCTCCCCAAATAACTATGGTCCCCTTGACTCACTTTGCAAGTGCCATGAGCACTTCACTAACTGGATGGGACAAAACTTCAATAAAGATAAAACAGATTATTTTATTTGGAAATCTGAATTCAAGAGCGATAAAATGTAAAGAACTAGTACATAACCTTGGTGTACTAATGGACTCTTAGTTTTAGCAGTCGTGTCAAACCAGTTACTTATTCAGCTTTTTATCACCTTAAGAACATCAACAAGATCAGAAATTGTCTGACTAAAGCAGACCTGGAGAAACTCATCCATGCCTTTATTGCTAGCTGGATTGATCACTGTAATGGTCTCATAACTGGACTCCCAAAAAAGACAATCAAACAGTTTTAGGTGATTTAAAATGCAGCTGCCAGAGTCTCACTGGGAGTAAAAGAAGGGAACACATCAACCCCATTCTTAAATTCCTATGCTGGCTATCAGTCTGTTACAGAATAGACTTTAAGCTACTATTAATGATCTGTAAAATGCTACATTTTGTACATAAGAAGAGCCCAGACACTGGACACTTTAAATCCAGGCTGAAAACGTTTCTATTTGAGCAGCTTTCAGCTCAGTTTAAAGTGTAAAGCTATACTGCATTTCTCTACTGTAACTGCACTCTATTATCCTAACTTAGGTTCGAATTAGATTTTTAATTTAATGCTTAACTTCTAGAATTTAATCTACTGTTTTAATCATGTTTTTATTTTCTAGTCACCTACCTCTTTTTAAATTTTCATTTGAATTATCGTTCTATTTTCTCAAAGCAATTTGAATGACCACAGTGTATGAAAATACACTTGCTTTACTAGTACTAACAGCAGTGACAGTAGCTGTAGTATTATTTTGTGCATCACAATTAACGCAATAAAAATGAACCTGATCTGAACTGTCTCTTTATGACTGATTGGCTTAGTTATGTACCAATCTGAATATTACCAGTCAGCTGTTGTCTCGCCCCACCTATCAAAAAATATGTTCAGCGTTCAATGTGCCAAAATTAAATGCCTTTCTTGTTAGTAGCATTATTAAATAGTCAAATGTTAGAACAGGCCAATTATACGGCCAGTACAGCTTTTATGTGCTGCTAAATGAAAACAGAAGCAAGCTGATGTTGGATTCTCTCAATAGCTGTGTAAAAAGGCATCAAAAATAACGACATATAATCACGAAAATATCACAATATTTTCTACATTATCTTTCTTTCTTTCTTCTTTCTTTTCTATTTTTAGTGTTTTTTTTTACATCACCTGTTTTATTGATATTTTAAAAAACATATTCAATAATAAATAATAAGTGATTTCCAAAGTCATGTTCAAGTGCTTTACAAATAAAAAAAAAAAACACAAGGCGTTTTCTGTCCTTACAGTGGAATTTTCATAATTCAGATGACCATCAGGACACTTAAGCAACTCTACCCAGTGAATCACACACAGCAGAGACAGGGGATTTACTCTAGGGAAGAACGAAGGACTGTTTGTTTCAAAACAGCTGGTTTCGTAAGTGAATGCATATGTCTAAAACTCAAGATAAGGGCCTGTATTCATCAGGCTTTATTTTGGGTTTTCCATCTGAATTTACCTGATCAAATCATAAGGCAAATTATTCAGTAACTGCATGAAATAATTTTTTTTCTTTATTTACTTTTTGTAAAAGCTCCCCTCAAATTAACAGAACATGTGTTTTATGATCATACGCATATTGCTATATGCTTATGATTTACTACTGAAAGCCAGAAATCTTAGAAACTCTTTGTATATTTTTATAAAAATAATTTTTACAGAGCAGATCACTGAAGAGACGCCATCTGTTTATATTTTATAGCCCAGATTTGTGGAAAAATGGGTCGACTTTCAGTAGGAAAAAAAATTCCAGCTTCTTTATTATGAGGGTTTAAAATTACATCACCCATCTATTTGACTGGAAAGAAGACAGTTACAGCTCTCATATGACACACACTTTTTAAATTTAGCTTACGAAATATGAAAGTTATGAAGAATATGACGAAGTGCGTTTTGGAACCACCGTTGGAGTCCCAAGGAGTTGAAAAGGTCAATGAAGCTCCTCAGAGTAGCAGTGCTGATCTAGGATCTGTTATTGTCAGTAAAGTCACAGTAAATGAGAGGAATCTGATCCTAGATCAGTACCACTACTCTGAGAAGCTTTGCCAATACTGATCCAGAACTCCAGGAAATGTTGGTCAATAAAGGTGTCAGCTTTAATTAAAGGGCTATTTGCCTACATTTTCCTTGCACTTTATTTCTTCCCCACTTATGTGTTATTTTTGTGTGCCATTCATTTTTTCATGACTGTTTTCCAACATCCCTTTATCTCTTTGAATTTCAATTTAGAACCACTTACCAACTGTGTTTGCACACAGAGGAATTAGACCTCGACATTTAACCCATCCGTGCAGTGAAACACCCACATACATGCACACTAGTGAACACACACACAAGGGGGCAGTGAGCACACTTGCTCGGAGCGGTGGGCAGCCCTATTCACAGCACCCGGGGAGCAGTTGGGGGTTAGATGCCTTGCTCAAGGGCACCTCAGTCATGTCCTGTCGACCTTCCTGTCAGAAAGCTAGTTCCCACATGTTTTCAGTAACTGGTGTTTCTCTGATTACTCTTATCCTTAAAAGTACCAGTTACTGGTTTCTCCATCATGCACACTTCTTTAGAACCGACAGTTCTAAGTAGTTACAGAATGACTGCACAGTGTGACAGACATATGCCTGGAACACGACATTCTGGAAAACCCTCAGGGGTGACACACGGGACTTATTTCAATAAGGTACCATGACTCAATTAAGTTAACTGAGCCTTGTAAGAGAAGAGAC